CTCTTCCGACTCCACAATCAACAAACCCTTTTCACAAGGGTTGCGGCCTGCGACAAACAAAACATGACCACCGTGCCACACTCGTACTTCACCCATGCTTCTCAACAAACTATTGCTAGAATCGTAACAAAACACCACCACTACCGTGGAAGAGTCGTACTTCACCCATACTAAACGGAATCCTAGACAATAGAAAATGTCCGTCAATAACAAATTTCAAAGGACTACTATGCAATTGTTCAAAATTAAACATTAAATTCAATCTCAACCATTTACTTTTTTTAACTTCTAATCTACGGTCATTATTAATTCACCACCCATACACCACTTGTTAAACTGGTCCGTCAGAGAATTTACCTTAAAAGATATGTATATTTATTAAGAGTTGGTTTTTCTGAAAGGATATATATATATATATATATATATATAAGAATGTTATATTTTATTATTTTTATTATGTTATTTTACACATAACTCAATAATAATTAGATATTGTTCATTTTGGACTTTCACTCTAACAAGGATATAGTAGAAAATTGAGTGTTATTATTTGGTCGTTCTCTTATAATGATTCCTTCTTGTTTGTGCCAACGTTGTTATTTTTTCATTTGACTAAATATACACCCTCCATAGTTTATTCTTGTCTCATAAATCTCTTTTGTTCTAATGTTTGCAATGCATGTAACATCCTTTACCAAAGTAATCTTAATCAAATCCTTTGTGTTCTCCAAGGTTGCAATTAAAGCTTTATATCTTTCGGGTACAATTACTTGAATTTTTTCAATAATTCTAAAATCAAGAAATTGTATTCGTAGTAATCGTACCTTATTAGCAATTCCAAACAATTTGTTTGAGTATTACTTGATTGTCTCGAACTCTTTCATTCTTTATAATTCAAATTCTCTCATTATATTTAACACTTGCATACTTGAATCCTTTCATCTCCAACATATTCTTCCTTTAGGTAATCCCGAATTCCTTTTAATGATTTGAGAGTCATGATTCTGGTGAAAATATTTTGTGAAACACAAGCAAACAAACAACTTTTTACTTTTGCCTTCTTGATTTTTCTTTCATTGTAAATTTTCATTCGAGTTATAGTTGGATTGTTAAATAAAAATTGAAGTTAAAAACATAATCAACCTACAACTACCTAAAAGATTTATCTCGGTTAGTTGAATAGTATGCATGAATTATTGTAACTTCTTAATTTCGATAAAATAAAAAAAAACAAATACAACTAGATAAATCATTCTAGGTGTCATTTTCATTACTAAACATCCTAAGTACTATCTTATGTAGATATCATCTTGCTAATTAACATTATACCTGGCTAAACATACTATAGTAACAATTATAATATGATAAATATAAGTTTGTTTAATTATCCTTTTAATTCTTACAATTTCATGAATTTTATCTTTTAGTCTCGAATTAAAAATGTTCCGTTTTACTTCTTATACATATTATTTTTGTTTCTTTTTATTTTCTATAGTTTCATAAATTTAATTTTTTATATAGTCCCTATAACAATAGAATACAAGTACTAAAGAGGAAACAAAAAATATATGGCTATATATATATATAGCCATATATTTTTTGTTTCCTCTTTAGTACTTGTGTTCTATAGGGACTATATAACAATAGAATACAAGTACTAAAGAGGAAACAAAAAATATATGGTTATATATATATATAGCCATATATTTTTTGTTTCCTCTTTAGTACTTGTATTCTATTGTTATAGGGACTATATAAAAAATTAAGAGAGAGAGAGAGAGAGAGAGAGAGAGAGAGAAAGAAAGAAAGAGAGAGAGAGAGAGGAAGAGAGAGAGAGTCATGATCTATTGACACCAAGTGTAAGCCTACACTTATACAAAATTTTATATATTCAATGACTTTTTATATAATGTAAATTTAACTTATCTAATCGTAAAAGTATGTGATATTATACTCAATATCTTGTATAACAAATTGTTGAAGTATATGATATTTTATATGCATAATCTCAAGGATAATATCACATACTTTATCAATTGAATTGATTAAATTTGCATTATACAAATATTATTGAAGTTATAATATTTGGTTAAGTTTTTAGACTTATACATGGTATTAACGGATCTTGACTCTCTCTCTCTTTACATATATAGGAGACGATTTAAGTAAAAACACTTGTTAATGAGAATATAAGAACAACTAATAATAATCCTTAGATTAAAATAAACAGTTTAGACTAAAATATTATAAATATCAAATACCATTGTCTTCATAATTTTTTCTATCATTGTTGTTATCTTCATCACCTTCATCTCCATTGTACCTTTGCCACATCGCCACCACCTTCGCCGTTACCACTACAACTATTGTTACCTCCACCAATTATAATTATTATTATTTATTTTCATACATTTATATTAAGAAGTGTTCTTACTTGAATTATCTTTGTGTGTGTAAATGCACATGTGGATTTGTGTAATATACTTTTTTTTATAATCTTTTTATTGTGTTATTTGAAATCCATATCTTTGTTGTGGGGTATGATATTCATACAAGTCTGTTCAGTTTAGAATTCATACTCCTTTTCTAATATCGTACTTCATAACAACCAAGAGTGTCGTATTAGTTTTTCATTATTGTCATATACTTCTTCAAGTTCCCGCATATCTTCAGTAAACTTTTTGCCATAAGCAGATTATACGATAGATATAATGTTTCAACTAAAATCTAAACTACATGTGACATGATATTACAATAATGAAATCACACATTTTAGGCTGTCTAATAAAACAGCACGTCCATGTATTCATTAGACTTGTTCTATTTTAACAATTTTAGGCTATGTCATAAAAAAGTGTCATGTTTAACAAATATATTGTTTAAATTACACAGTAGTTATTAGTGTTGATGCCTTGTATTTCTATAATAACTTGACTCTTGCCTGAATCGACACTTTTTGTTACTTGGCTTTAACTGAACTAATTAACATTTATATAACCATCTGCTCAAGATTAATAGATGCTACTGGTGATCCATATTGTATCACTCCATTTCCGTGGCAGTCAAGCGTTTACAAACACACAAATTAAGTTTGAACCATTCCTTTCTTAACCTTCATATGAAACTATGAAAATGAGTAACAACAATTGTAATCTGCCAGCATGTAAATCTGAACAAATGATTCACCCCTTGAATTATTGTTGAGGGATATGTATATAATGTATCCACATAAAAAGAGGGAAGCCAAAATATGAAAGATCTAGCTATCAATCTTCACACAACATCTAAGGATAAGCCTATGCCACCAGAACTGTAGTAAAATTATTCATGAAGGGATGTTTTCTTAATTTACCAATGTCTAGGCTGCTGCACTGCTGGTAGCAAAACCTTAAAAGATGTAGTGAATGAAATGAATCACTACCAAATCATTTCTAGCGAGGACCAACGGCAACTATTGCTCCCCAGAAATTGTAGCACTTGTAACACCCTGCAAGAATGCAGCCCTGGCGGCAAGGTCGGTTGAAAAGCGTCCTAATACAGCAATGGTAGCTGTACTACTTCCAAACTTCTCAATTCCCCTAGAAATCATACATGTGTGGCTTGCCTCTACAACTACTATTACATGTCCACCTAATAACAGTGGTGCAATGGTTTCAGCTATTTGCCTTGTAAGCCTTTCCTGAACCTGTAGTTTGAAACCATAAAAATGTACAATAGACTGCAAAAGGGATTTACCAATGGGATTAAATCCTTCTGAAAGGAAGTATCCTACGTGGACAACACCATGAAATGGAAGTATATGATGCTCACATTGTGACCAAAACGGCAAGTTCAGCTCAGAGTGTATTTGTTTGTCATTGAAGTTCACCTCCCTATTGAGTTTCAAAGTATCTATCCCACCACAGATGGAACCATTCAGCTTCACATCCATGTCAATACTTTGGAAGTTCAATAGCCATTTCACAAATCGACTAGGCGTCCCTGCAAGCTCCTTCCTTAATAAATCTTCTCCAAGAGAATTAAGGATTGAGGATACTGCAGTGACCATTGCAGGATTGACTGGTATAATTTTGGAGGGAACATTAGCAGAAAAAGATGGACACCAGCATTGGTCAGATGATCCTCTTGGATGATTTTTTTCTATTTCGATACCTAATTTAAGAAGGCAAAAGAAATCAGACCATACATCTGCACTTTTGTTTTCAAAAATCCCAGAACCTGATGAAACAAGTGTCTTCACCCATGCTTGGTGGTTTGTTTCAGGAAAGATTGACTCTGGAAAGTGGATATGTGTACACTGAAGTACAACAGCAACACCTGCAGGCTTTATTCCCTGATGCAATGCTGAACAAACCTCATCTGCCAGACGCTGAGGCTCCTGAAGTCGTTTAGCAAATACATCGGCCACGCGAGAGAGCTTGCTTAAACCCACAACTCTTTGGCCAGAAGGGACATAACCCACGTGACATTTTATTTGGAATGGTAGCAAGCAAGATTCACAATAGGAATAAAGATCAAGATCTCGGACAATCACAAGTCCACCTGCGCCCCCTGCATGACCAATTCTATTGTTTTCTAGACCAGCTTCAGGGAATAAGGCACCATTAACAATGTCCTTCACTTTTTGTCTGTATCCTGGAAAAATGTCAATTTCCTCAAGATTAGTAATCACTAATCATGTTATTATACAACAGAATATGACAATTTTTAATTTTAACTTTATGCAGTGTCAATTGTCAAATGGAAAAAATTGTGAAGAAAAATTATGGAAAATAAGCAATAAAGGCAAGAAAAATAATGCTTAATTTAACGGTGAACTACTTAAGCAGCTATATAGAGAAAAACACTTATCAGTAATCACTATGTTTATTCCTATTAGTGACAGTAGTAACTTGCACGAAACTGGATAGTTAAGGAATAGAATAATAATTCTCAGGTGATTAACATGCATCATTCACAAAGTGTGTGCTTGTAGCACTCCTTTGTTTGAGAAATTCAACTAACACAGCACACTCTTTTTAAGACACTTTATTATTGGCTGAAATTTGTTGAAAATCACAAAATTACGTAAGTCTCACTCATTATTTTATGCACCTCACAAATGATTTTGTGTTACAAAAGGGACAAAAGACTATATTCCACAAAATAATAGTCCTCCATCTGTCTTCGTGCATGTATAATTGGCAAGATTTTCTCTATGCATAAATTACTTTAGTACAATAACTTCTTAAAGTTCATTCCATTCAATTTTCTCAACTCCGCAAAGCAGTTCAGCCAATTTTGGAAAAGGAAAAGAGTTTACAAAGGTACTTGGCAAAACCACATAGATTTTATCCAATAAAAACCGATGAATTACCATAAATATAAGCAATATCTTTTTTTCTCTCTCTTTATTTTCTTCTCTAAAGTAAAAGACTCAACTTACCCAAAACTGCTGAAAGACGGAAAAGGGAACAACTTCTGATCCAAATTTAGATACTATACCAGACAGAAATCTATTTCAGTATTTCCTAATAAAGACCAAAATCAAGATAAAAAAGTATATCACCCATCACCATTCACCATTTTAATTTAAAGAAGTGACAAGAAAACAAAGCTACACTAACGACAATGATCATGCAAATAACCTTTCCTTTTCCAAAAATATTAACAAATTCTAATTTCTAAGATATTAAGTTGTCAACAAATAACAACCTTTGTGGAACATTTTACTACTAAAAGAAACATCAACGAAACTAGTATGATTGACCCCAATCAAATTCACTTCAACCCTTTCAAAAGCGTATGACTAAACTCTGAAGTAAATAGAATCAATAACCATCAGTCAAAAGGTTTATATGTACATGATCACCTCTGGTTCCTTCACGTAGGGCCTTGGCAACACGAAGTGGTGTCTTCCTAAGACCTTCCCTGTTAATATTTTCCCCAAGACCAAGCAACAGCACCTTCACGGCATCCTCAATGGCAGCAATATCAGTCTTTATCTCTTCCTCAAAACCCACTTCACCACACCCAATACTCACTCCATTTTCAAGCTCCCCATTGAAATGCCCCTCATCAAAACAGCCCATTGAAAGATCACAAATCCCACAACAAAACTATGACCCAAACATCAAAGCCCCCCCCCCCCCCCCCAACACCCAAAAAGGCCAATACCCAACAAATGAAACCAAAAAACCTATTAAAAAAATTAAACTTGCAAAACTAAAATTGACAAACATATCCACAATTTCCCAACATTTTAATACCAACCCAATAAAAGGCTCAAAACAAATAAAGGCTCGAAGAGAATAACCTCCCCAAACACTCAGAGCAACCGAAAATGAATCCAAAAGCCACGGAACTAGACTAGAATCAAAGAAAACAAGTAAATCACAAACCAAATGCAAAAGGGTGTCACAAATCTCGGTCTCAGAAAAGAGAGTAAAAAAGTTGGGATAAGAAAAGAGAGAAGAAGAAAAAAAAATGTGGATTTGTGAGTGGGGTTAACGTTTGATCTTAGAATGTGTGGATTGAGTCGGTTGGAAGTGATGTAATGTAATCTAATGAGAAGGCAAAGGAGAACCCACCAAACAACCAAGGTGAGGGAAGGAGGTTTGTGCTCGTTTTTCAGAGATGTATGTGTGTGGTGTGTTATTGCTAGAGATAAAGGTTTGTCATATATATATATATATATGATTTAAAAGATATGATAAAGAAATGAAGAATTGAAGATGGTGGTATGGTGGTATTTGAGGTCGGTGGGTAAGTGATGATGGTATGAATAGACCTCAATATTATTATTTTATAATTACAGAAAAGGCCTCTGTGCTAACCAAATTTGGAATGTGGGTCCAAAAATGAAATGGCTACATAAAGTAGGTGCTGCTGAACTTGATTATGAACATAAAAAAAATACAACCGAGTTCACAGCTCTCTGCAAATGAAAACAAGAAGAAATGATATGATAAATAAATATAAAAGGAAAGAGTATATTTGCACTTCCCAAATGCTAACCAAAAAATTTACAAATGGGTTCTCTTATTTTAAAAATAAATTTATATCAATTTAATTATTAAATTAAAAAATTTTAATATATAGAAAAATTTTACAAATTTTAAAAAATAAAATTATTTAATATTTTATTTCATTGATTTAAATTGACAAATAATCATAAAAATATTTTATACATTGATTTGAATTTATATAATAAAGTATTAAATAATTTTTAATTTTGTTAAAAAATTTCAAACTTGATCTATATATTAAAATCTCTTAATTCATTGGATTGTGTAAAATATGAGTTATTAAGTGGAGGAAGTTTAGGTAGAATCTCAAATAATTTCTAAATTTTGTTTAAAAATTTGTAAATTTGATCTATATATTAAGTACTTTTAATTCAATAAAACATTAGTTATTAAGTGAAATAAGTATAAGTATAAGTGAATCTCTCCTCACAAAGATATATATATATAT